TACTGCCAAAGACCAATAACAAGTCGAGGATTTTAAGCCTTTGCATGGCTGTGGCTCAGTCGATAGCTATAATACTTTGTTTTTGCCAAAAACGACCACCCATGTGTTCTGGAATAACCTGAGGATCGGGTCATGGTGCATTCCTTCAGTCAATTTAGCCCATTAAAGTTAACAGGAGCGATGGTTTTATTGTGTTTATTACTTAACTAAGCATGCTATTGTTGATGTGTTTATAGGTTTTGTTCGTTCTAAACAAAAACATGGCCCAACCAACCATGCTGATTCCAGATCCTATAAACTACTCGCTTCACCGTTTACAGTCAAAGTTTCACTGCTGACCAACAACTACAAGTACAAGTGAAAACCAATCATGTTTCAGATATCAGATCCTCTCAAACAGCACTGAAAACAAATATCAATCGCTAATACTCACTAGTGTGTGTTCTGCTGATTTCCCGCCAAAATGATGTCACTTCCTCATGATTGTTGTGAGCAAAGAAGGCTTTTTATCATTTAAAGGGGCATCACGCAATACTAACAGGATAGAAAGTATGAAATGGTTATAATTTTAGATGGTTTTGATTTTCAGTTACATTCTAAACCTTAAACATAATTGAAATGTTTAAAATAATATAAAAATATATATATAAACATTTGTCATTAAACCATTAAAAATATTTTCAAAACTTATAACATGTTTAAGTAACCTGCTAACATGTTTTAACAAGATTTTAACATGTATTAGTGCACTTTTATCACATTTTAGCAAGCTCTTTACATGTTTTAGCATGTTGCTAACAAAATTTAGTCAGCATCTTTTAGTAAAGTAGGATGGTTTAGCACATGTTTAGCATGTTTCAAAGAGTTCCTAACATGATTTGTTGGCATTTTTAATGTTCTAGCACTGTATATAGTGTTTGTTATTTATTAGCATTTTGTTTAAAGCACATTAACATGCACATGCTAACATGTTTTTTAACAAGATTCATATGTTTTCAACATATGTTAGCAAGTTATTTGCATGTTTTAACACAAACATAGGAGGTTTTATCCCACTGTTAACATGTTTGAATGAGTCTCTAACACAGTTTATTAGCATTTTAACATGTGAGCACTTTATATATTTTGTTTGTTATTTATTAGCAATTTGTTTAAGCATGATGTTCGCATGTTTTGGTAACCCGTTAACATTTTAACAAGATTCTAATAGGTTTAGCATATGTTAGCAAGTTATTTAAATGTTTTAGCACAAACGTAGGATGTTTTGTCGCACTGTTAGCATGTTTGAGTCCCTAACAGGGTTTGTTAGCATTTTAACATGTTAGCACTGTATATATTATGTTTGTTATTTAATAGCAATTTGTTTAAGCACATTGTTAACATGTTTTGGTAACCTGCTAACACACTTTTAACAAGATTCTGATGTTTTTAGCACATGTTAACAAGTTATTTACATGTTTTAGCGTTTTGTTTCTAATACTTTTCCAGCATGTTTTAGCACAAACTTCGGATGTTTTATTACACTGTTAGTATGTTTGAATGAGTTCCTAACACGGTTTGTTAGCATTTTAACATGTTAGCTTCGTATTATTATATTTGTTATTTTTTAGCAATCTGTTTAAGCACATTGTTAGCAAGTTTTGATAACCTACTTACATGTTTTCTGATGTTTTTAGATATGCAAGTTATTTACATGTTTTAGCACGTTGTTTATAATACTTATCCAGCATGTTTTAGTACAAACTTACAATGTTTTATCACACTGTTAGCATGTTTCAGTGAGGTCCTAAAAGTTGATAGCATTTAAAAAAATGTTGCTAGCATGTTTACATGTCTTTGCAAAGTTGCTACTATGGTTTAACACATTGTTTGGATGTTTTAACACATTTATCTAGCATTTTTCTAATAGCTCTTAACACGTTTTGTTAGCATTTTTAAAATGTTAGCAGAATATATGCAATTATGCATTTTATTTATAACGAGTTTGTTTAAGCACATTGTTAGCATGTTTTGATAAAATGAGACATTTTTAAACAAGATTCTGATATGCTTTAGCACACTGCCACTATGTTAGCAAGCCGTAGCCATGTTTTAAGTTGCTAATAATACTTACCCAGCATGTTTTAGCACAATTGTAAACTTTTAAGCACATTGTTAGCATGTTTCAAAGAGTTTCTAACAAGTTATCATTTTAACATGTTAGCATCATCTTTGCATGTTTTTATTTGAACATTTAAGCACATCAATAGCATGTTTTATCAAGTTCTTAACATTATTGTAAGGGTTCTAGCATGTTCAAACATGTTGCTAGCATGCTTACATGCATTTGAAAAGTTGCTACTACTTTTAATTTTTTCTAAGTAATTTTAAAAAGTTAGCAGCATTTAGCCTAAATGCCATTATGCATCTTGTTTATAAACAGTTTGTTTAAGCAAATTGTTAGCATGTTTTGATGACCAGAAGTTTTAACAAGATTGTGATGTTTTTACCATACCGATAGCAAATGTTAGCAAGCTGTCTACATGTTTTAGCATGTTACTAATAATACTTACCAGCATGTTTTAACAAAATTTTAAAAATTTTCAGCAGATTGTTAGCATGTTTTGAAAAGTTTCTAACAAGTTATACTTTTTAACGTTAGCATCACATTATGCATGTTATTTATTTGCCTATTTAAGCACATTGTTAGCATGTTTTATCAAGTTCTTAACTTTATTTAAAGATTTCTAGCATGTTCAAACATGTTGCTAGCATGCTTACAGTACATACATTTGAAAAGTTGCTACTATAGTTCAACACATTGTTTGGATGTTTTGTTAGCATTTTTAAAATGTTAGCAGCATGTTGCTAATAATACTTGCTCAGCATGTTTTAGCACAATTTTAAGATATTTTAGCACATTGTTTGCGTGTTTCTAAGAGTTTCTAACAAGTTTTCATTTTAATTATTGTATTTATTTACATATTTATTATGCATGTTATTTGTTTGCCTGTTTAATCACATTGTTAGCATGGTTTATCAAGTTCGTAACATTATTACAAATTTGCTAACATGTTTGAACATGTTTCTAGCATGCTTACATGCCTTTGCATTGCTTTAACATTGTTTGGATGTTTCAACTTGTTAGCATATTTGTAACAGGTATTTAGCAAATTGCTAACATTTTTATAACATTGCTCACCGCTAAAAGGTTTTGGCATGTTGCTAACATAAAATTATAATAATCTGTATAACCAACTAGACCAAAACATGTACTTAAACTATTTTAAGTGAATTTTAAATTTATATTTTATAGGAAAATAAAATTTCATTTATGTGTATACACTTTTAAACTGCTAAATCAACTGCCTTATATCACATATTTAAGTGCAGACATCAGACGCTATCAATTTCAACAACACTGTCTGTTGAAAAAGCCATGTTGGTGGTGTCTTATGAAAGCAGTCCCACAAGCACTACCAAACACAATCCTGATGAATCTGTGTGTGTTTTAGGGGCTTGATAAATACTACGGCAGCACTGCAGAGGGTTCAAGGTTATTTAAACAAGACCTATGTGTGCTATGAGTCAACATGTTTACAGTACGACATATCTCGACTTTAGTAAAACTATACTATGTCATGAGCGTGGGATTACCAGAGGGGCTTGAGTTCAGAAGTGAGATGATGTTTTTGCATCATGCACATTGGGTACTGGGCAACACGATTTACCCCGGCTAATTTTATAACCAAACCTCATGCTGTTGGGTCATACGATACACACATTAACAACATGGTCCAACTCCACAACAAGCGTTATAGAAATGTACTTTGATGAAGGTACCTGAAGTGGAGTTTGGAGGGAAATGTGGCTGTCATGTTGTGGGAGATATGATAATGCAAATAGATAAACATTAATTATCTTTTATCATTATTATGCATGACATCATATGCATTAAATATTTAGTATTTGTACTTTATATGCACATATACTTCCGTTTATGCAATGTGTTTAAATTTAAAGTCTTAATATTTATTGTTTTAGGGGGTATTAAGCTATGTTACATAAATATTGGTGATATTTTAAAGAGGCACAGGTGTGAACATCTTTATTATAATATATTATAAATCATTTTACACAAATTATGTTGATTTTATGTTATATTTATTTGTTATTTTCATATATGTTTGTTTGTATTTAATAAATGTATTTTTTTACTTGATTTTAAAGTCATTTTAACATTTTTTTGTAAGTTTTATCTTTAAATCTCATATATTGTTTGTATTGTCTTTAAGATGCTTTTCTGCTCTAGATCTATAAAGCAAGTGAACTTTATGACGTCATACTTTTACTCTTTTACACATTTGCAACTCTTACATATGCATTTAACTTTTCGTGTATAGACATATGTTATATATCAGTATATCGTCATATTTATTAAATCTACCAACAAAAACAACAACAAAAAATAGAACAATTTGTCTTTTTATTATTATTATTATTAATATTATTATTATTATTATTAACGCTTCACGTGTGGATTTTTATGCTTAATAATAATGATGATGATGATGATGCTGATGATGATTATGCTAAAATGTGCTTTATCTCATCAATGAAACTCCACGTTGTTTAAAGCACCATCGCAAATCCTGTGCAAACAACCGAGCTTGCCGCGCGCATTTGGCCATGCACGACTCGCGCGCGCGCACAGGAGCTATTGAACAAATATTTGCGCAAAGTGGCGTCGCGTGGTCTCCGTGTTGACTCAGAGCGATAGAGAGAAAGAGGAGTTAAGGGCAGCTCAAAGCGAACCGCGTCACCTCCGTTATGTTTATTTATAAAGCGCGTTTGAGGGCACTTCCTCGGTCTATGTGGGGTCATGCGATACTCACCAACAACGTGCATCCATAAATGAATGGTGGGCTCGACTTCCACACACGATCCCTGATTGGTCGCCGCGTCCGAGCGAGATAAACACGGCGGAGAGTATATATAAGGTGGCATCTAAGAGAAACTCCACTGACAACTTTTACGCACGCTGTTTTACACACGCCTCAAGATGAGAGCGCACTTGCAGAGAGCTCCTCAGATTCTGGAGCTGCTGAAGAAGAAGACTGCGGGGCTCCAGCACTGTAAACCCACATCCTCCGTGTGCGTGCTCGACTCGAAGGATGCTGCTGGGAGCGCGCCCTGTGCGCACAGTCTCGACTCCATCCCTGGACCAACCAACTGGCCGCTGTTCGGCAGCCTCATCGAGGTGATCCGGAATGGGGGATTGAAAAGGCAACACGAGACGCTGGTACGAAACACTCTACTATTAAGCAGCAACTATTTGGTTTTTATTTATGCACTTTTTATTTTAATTATTTAGCATTTTATGTTAGCCGTGCAATGTACTATCCTACAAATAATAATTTAATATTTTATAATTAATATTGGATTTTTTTAAATTAAAATTTTAAATGATTAAAAATGGATTTTTTATATTTGGATATTTAAAAAAATTATTAATTTAATTATGTAGATTAGATTAATATAGTCGTTTTTGCTTTTTTATTGTTAGAATTTTACATAAAATATCAATTGTTTATGCAAAAATGATATAAAATTGTATATATATATATATATATATATATATATATGTTTTCTATAAATGTATAAATTGTTTGCATTGCCTTTATTATTTAAAAACAATTCAACTATTCCATCCATGGTGTTTTTATTATTATTTTTTTTATACATTTGATAATTTATGCAGCCTACATTTACATATAGACAATCAACTTTAGCTGAAGTTTGTGATTAAGTTCAATATTTGCTATTTATATATATTAATTTGCTTAAAAAACATGTAATATATGAAGTAACCCTACAAATGAAACTGCATTTGTCCAGAGTAATACACACACACACACACACACGCACATATACATGCATACACACACCTGTACATGTCTTTTATTTTAAGGGTGTTTTCTGTGTTATGCAACTCAGATCCATTTTCATAAGAAGTTTGGGAAGATCTTCCGGATGAAGCTGGGCTCTTTTGAGTCGGTTCACATTGGTTCTCCATGTTTACTGGAGGCTCTGTACCGGAAAGAGGGCAGCTATCCTGAGAGACTGGAGATCAAACCATGGAAAGCCTACAGAGACATGCGGGACGAGGCTTACGGGCTGCTCATACTGTAAATATTCTGATTCATTACCGAGTGCATGTGAGATTACATTGGTAATTAGTTGGGATTTCTGGTATTATAAACTCATGCATTTGCAGGGAAGGGAGAGACTGGCAGCGGGTGCGCAGCGCTTTCCAGCAGAAGCTCATGAAACCCACTGAAGTCATGAAGCTGGACGGCAAAATCAATGAAGTGAGTTGCGCTTGATAGATATCAGTTCACATTTAACTCAGATATACAGTTGAAGTTAAAATGATTCTTTCTCAAATGTTTCCCAAGTTATGTTTAACAGAGCAAGGAAGTTTTTCACAATATTTCCTATAATATTTTTTCCTTCTGGGGAAAGTCTTACTTGATTTATCTTGGCTAGAATAAAAGCAGTTTTTATTTTTTAATACCAATTTTAAGGACAATATTATTATCCTTCTTTAGAAATATATAGTTTTCAATTGCCTACAGAACAAACCACTGTTTTCAAATATCTTGCCTAATTATTCTAACTTGCCTAGATAACATAATAGCCAAGTTAAGTCTTTAAATTGCACTTAAGGCTGAATACTAGTATCTTTTGGAAATAAGTTATTATATTATATTTAAAAATGCATTCAAAACTAACCTGATCTCTGTTAAGCAACACTTGAGAAATATTTTTAAAGGATAACAAAAAACACAGGAGGACTAATCATTTTTACACATGCACTGACTAATACAAATCCCTGTTGTCTTCATGCAAAGGTTGCAGCTGATTTGATCAAAAGGATTGGAAAAGTCAACGGCAAAATGGATGATTTGTATTTTGAGCTGAACAAGTGGTCCTTTGAAAGTGAGTTTACACTCCAACACAAATAAACCACACAGTTTTATACAAAGACATGCATTAAAAAGCTTGTTTTTCTCGCTATTTTAGCCATTTGCTATGTGATCTATGACAAGCGTTTCGGGCTTCTGCAAGACAGTGTCAGCAAGGAGGGCATGGATTTCATCACCGCAGTGAAAACGGTAAAATGACCTAATTATTAGTTCAAACGGCTTCTCTGATAAACAAACACAAAGCAGATAAGCCTTATCTCTAATGCAGCTGTGTTTACCAGAGATGCAAAGATACGAGGAGTGTTTTGTTCTTCTCTGTTTCAGATGATGAGCACTTTTGGGACGATGATGGTGACGCCTGTTGAGCTCCACAAAACTCTGAATACCAAGACGTGGAAGGACCACACGGAGGCCTGGGACCGTATTTTTAGCACAGGTATTAAAGAGTTCCCTAATCAGGTGATGTGCGACCCATAAAAGCCCATGGATGGATGGATGGATGGATAGATAGATAGATAGATAGATAGATAGATAGATAGATAGATAGATAGATAGATAGATAGACGGACGGATGGGTGGATATATGGATAGATGGATGGATGGTTGGATGGATGGATGGATGGATGGATGGATGGATGGATGGATGGATGGAGGGATAGACAAGCGGACAGACAGGCGGATGGATGGGATAGATAGATAGATAGATAGATAGATAGATAGATAGATAGATAGATAGATAGATAGATAGATAGACAGACAGACAGACAGACGGACGGACGGACAGACGGACAGACGGACGGACGGACGGACGGACGGACGGATGGACGAACGGACGGACAGATGGGTGGATATATGGATAGATGGATAGATGATTGGATGGATGGATGGATGGATGGATGAATGGATGAACGGACTAGTAGATAGATAAATGGATAGAAAGATGGATGGATGGATGCATGAATGTAGTAAACAGTATCAGAAAGAGAGAGAAATGGAGAGAAAAAGATAGATAAAGAGAGAGGCAGTAAACGCAGTGACCTCAGAGATAGAGAAAGAAGGAGAGAGTGGTAGTAAACGCAGTGACCTCAAAGAAAGATAAACGTTGACAGAGAGACAGGTAGTAAACGCATTGACCTGAGAGAGAGATAGAGAGATAGATAGATAAAGGCAGAGAGAGAGGGGTAGTAAACGCTGTGACCTCAGTGCTGGAGAATCCAGCCAAATATTTGTAGTAGAGGAGCGGAGGGAGGGAAGGAGGGAGGAATGTTGACGCGAGGCTGAATTACTCACAGTTTGTTGTGCTGCTGTTTCTCTATTAGCAGCGCTCACTGGCAGACACCTGTCACACATTCACTAACACTTCACTGAAGCAAAACAACAACAGCACGTGCTCTAGCCGTCTACTAGCACAAAGTAGGGCAGCCAACACACACACTGTAGGCTTACCGTTAATACAAAAGAGGAATGCCATAGCAGATTTTACAGTCTGTGTGAACCGGAAGTTGCTGAGATTTTCCAGTATGTTGATATTGACCTTATTCCTCATGTATAAGCGTGCGCAGCCAGTAGAATCTTTTTGGCTCAAGACTTCTGGTCTCATTCACTTCCATTGATTTTTAGATGTTAAAAACGTCTGGTCATGCTGCTTCATGTTGCAAACTGATATTTTCTTATTATTAAACTATTTGTCTGAAAAAAAATCTTCAACTAATAAAGCAATCTGTCATCCTAACAGCAAAACATTACATCGACAAGAACCTGCAGAAGCAGTCAAACGGCGAGGCGGACGACTTTCTGTCGGACATCTTCCATAACGGCAACCTCACCAAGAAAGAGCTTTACGCTGCCACAACAGAGCTGCAGGTCGGAGGAGTGGAGACGGTACGCGCGCACACACAAACACACACTTGTATACATGGTTTACACAGGGACACTTAATAAGTGTAATATATTTTACAGTCAAAATACTGTATGGCCCTACCCCACCCCATCCCTAAACCTTGTTAAGTATGCTTTTTAAGTGTTTTGAATTACAGGGACACGAGGTGTATAAACCACCTTAATAGAGTAAAACTAAGTCATACCCATGTCATTATACAATTATGTGTCCCTGTAAACCACATAAACCTGTACACACGCATGATTTTTTGTATACATGGCTTACAGCAGGAGTAACCAACCCTATTTTTGGAGAGCTAAATTTGTAATTCACCTCCAATCAAACACATATGAATCAATTAATTCTGACCTAAAGCAGCATGTTATACAGACACACAGATATGTTTGGTCAGGGTTGCAACTGAAACAAGGAAGGTAGATCTCCAGGAAAAAAATTGGTGACCCCTGGTTTATAGGGACACTCAATAGGCGTAATGTATTTTATACTGTCAAAACTACTTATAATATGGCCCTAACCCAACCTTGTTCTAAACCTTAATAAGAATGCTTTATAAGTGTTTTGAATTACAGGTACACAAGGTGTATAAACCACCTTAATAGAGTAAAACTAAGTCATACCCATGTCATTATACAATTTTGTGTCTCTGTAAACCACATAAACTTGTACACACACATTTTTGTATACATGGCTTACAGCATGGGTCACCAACCCTGTTCTTGGAGAGCTACCTTCCTGCATAATTCACCCCAACCCTAATCAAACACACCTGAACCAATTAATTCTGACCTAAAGCAGCATGTATTACAGACACACATGTATGTTTGGTCAGGGTTGCAAATGAAACGAGGAAGGTAGATCTCCAGGAACAAGGTTGGTGACCCCTGATTTATAGGGACACTCAATAGGCGTAATGTATTTTATACCATCAAAACTACTTATAATATGGTCCTAACCCAACCCCGTCCTAAACCTTGTTAAGTATGCTTTATAAGTGTTTTGAATTACAGGGACACGAGGTGTATAAACCACCTTAATAGAGTAAAACTAAGTCATACCCATGTCATTTTACAATTTTGTGTCTCTATAAACCACACAAACCTGTGCACACACATTGTTGTATATATGGCTTACAGCATGGGTCACCAACCCTGTTCTTGGAGAGCTACCTTCCTGCATAATTCACCCCCAACCCTAATCAAACACACCTGAACCAATTAATTCTGACCTAAAGCAGCATGTATTACAGACACACAGGTATGTTTGGTCAGGTTTGAAACTGAAAGGAGGAAGGTAGATATTCAGGTTCAAGGTTGGTGACCCCTGGTTTATAGAGATACTCAATAGGCGTAATGTATTTTATACCGTCAAAACTACTTATTATATGGCCCTAACCCAACCCCGTCCTAAACCTTGTTAAGTATACTTTTTAAGTGTTTTAAATATAGGGACACGAGGTGTATAAACCACCTTAATGGAGTTAAACTAAGTCATACCCATGTCATTATACAATTTTGTGTCCCTGTAAACCACACATGTACACACACATTTTTGTATAGATGGCTTACAGCATGGGTCACCAACCCTGTTCTTGGAGAGCTACCTTCCTGCGTAATTCACCCCCAACTCTGATCATTCACAACTGAACCAATTAGTTTTGCCCTGAAGCAGGACTTTACATTTACAGACAGGTGTCTTTGATCAAGGTTTCAACTGAAATCTGCAGAATGGTATGGCTTATTATATGGCCTTATCCCACCCCATCCCTAAACCTTGTTAAGTATGCTTTTTAAGTGTTTTGAATTACAGGGACTCTAGGTGAATAAACCACCTTAATAGAGTAAAACTAAGTCATACCAATGTCATTATAAATTTTTGCGTCCCTGTAAACCACATAAATCTGTACACACACATATTTTTGCATACATGGCTTACAGCAGGAGTAACCAACCCTGTTCTTAGAGAGCTACCTTCCTGCATAATTCACCCCCAACCCTAATCAAACACACCTAAACCAATTAATTAGGACCTAAAGCAGCACGTTATACACACAGGTGTGTTTGTTTGGTCAAGGTTGCTACTGAAATCTGCAGAATGGAATGGCTTATTATATGGCCCCAACCCACCCCATCCCTAAACCTTGTTAAGTATGCTTTTTAAGTGTTTTGAATTACAGGGACACGAGGTGTATAAACCACCTTCATAGTGTAAAACTAAGTCATACCCATGTCATTTTACAATTATGTGTCCCTGTAAACCACACAAACCTGTACACACACATTGTTGCATACATGGCTTACAGCAACCCTGTTCTTGGAGAGCTACCTTCCTGCATAATTCACCCCCAACTCAAATCAAACACACCTGAACCAATTAGTTCTGACCTAAAGCAGCATGTATTACAGACACACATGTATGTTTGGTCAGGGTCGCAACTGAAAGGAGGAAGGTAGATCTCCAGGAAAAAGGTTGGTGACCCCTGGTTTATAGGGACACTCAATAGGCGAAATGAATTGTATACAGTCAAAACTAATTTTATGGCCCTAGCCCCACCCCGTCCTAAACCTTGTTAAGTATGCTTTATAAGTGTTTTGAATTACAGGGACACGAGGTGTATAAACAACCTTAACAGAGTAAAACTAAGTCATGAACATGTCATTATACAACTTGAGTCCCTGTAAACCACATTAACCTGTACACACACACACATACACAGACACGTTCACACACCGCCAGTCCAGAAATAAAAAAACACCTTGTTTTTCTCCAGGTCACACGCGAACGAGCTACAAAAACAGTTGATTTAACTCGTCTTTGTTCTGCTCTTATCCTGGCTTAGCTCAATCAAGCAGATAAGTCAGAAGAATGAGGCAGGGCAGGCGTAGCGTGCCGTTAATTGTTCTGCCAGAGGAACATAGTACAGTGTGGCCCGACTGACCAAGCAAATCCTCCTTGTTTTCCTCTCGCAGACGGCTAATAGCATGCTGTGGGTCATTTTCAACCTGTCACGTAACCCCTGCGCCCAAGGCAAACTCCTGAAGGAGATCCAGGACGTGGTGCCTGCTGGCCAAACTCCACGCGCAGAACACATCAAGAACATGCCCTACCTCAAAGCCTGCCTGAAGGAGTCCATGAGGTGAGCAAAGATACTGCAAAACATGCTGCTAAAAGAAGGCTCTTGAAGACAATGGCTACAGGGATCTTTTAAAGACACTTTTTAAGAGACATCCTAGCACTTTCTGATGCACTCCGGGTATGATCTGCAAAGGGTTTATACAGTATGAGGTGATGCGGGGTCATTTCCAGTAGAAAGGCAGTAGATTAGGTTACCAGTCAGCTGATTTAATAGTCCTTAATCTGAAAGCATGTGGAAGTTTATGCCCTCACGCTTTCATGTTCCAGGCGACGGTCATGCGTTTCAGGAAGACTCGTCTCTGGACATTAAAGAAGGATAATGCTGAAGCATGTGCTGGGAATGTTGATGGTGTACTTGTGGGATTATCTAGCCTTGACTAGCATTAGCAGCATAACATGCCTAATACCATTCAGCTTACGCACTCACGCATGCAACAAAAATAGACATTCTCACAAATTGTTGTTTTGTGTCCTGCAGAGTTTCACCGTCCGTGCCGTTCACCAGCCGGACCCTGGACAAAGATACCGTGCTGGGCGATTACACCCTGCCTAAAGGAGTGAGTGTCTCATTATTATTAGTATTACTAGTAGTAGATCCTCTCATTACTGCCCCCTTCTTCACATAAATGTTCATTCAATAAATCTTAAGCTATTTTTATAAAACCTAATATATTTATAAACAGGTGAAGTCTGAATTATACGCCCGTCCGTATATTTTTCCCCCAATTTTTGTTTAATGGAAAGATTTTGTAAACATTTCTAAACGTAATAGTTTTAATAACTCTTTTCTAATAACTGATCTATTTTATCTTATATTTAGGAAATGATGTGGAAATTTTCGTTAAAACTTGATAAATACTTTAAAAAGACTAAATATTTCATAGAAAAGCTAATAATTTCTCAACTGTAAATATATAAAGGAAAAAAAAAAAAATATATATATATATATATATATGTGGTTTTGTCTTGTTTCTTGTCTAAATGACACTCAGATGTTCTTAGCCTTACTGCTTAATGACTACAGCCCCATTGACACCCTTTGCCAGTGCATTGATGAAATTAAAAAGTTGGATGTGCCAAAACTTTCTTCAGTTAAACAAAGAGAAAACTGAAGTCATTGCGTTTGGGAACAGAGATGAGGTTCTTAAGGTGAATGCGTACCTTGGCACTAAAGGTCAAACAACAAAAAAATAAGGTCAAGAATCTTGGTGTGACTCTAGAGTCAGATCTTAGTTTCAATAGTCATGTCAAAACAGTTAGTAAATCAGCATACTATCATCTTAAAAACATTGCACGAATTAGATGCTTTGTTTCTAGACTTAGAGAAACTTGTTCATGCTTTTATCAGCAGCAGGGTGGATTACTGTAACAACCTCCTCACTGGCCTTCCCAAAAAGACAGTCAGACAGTTACAGCTCATCCAGAACGCTGCTGCCAGGATTCTGACCAGAAGCAGGAAACCAGAACACATCACACCTGTCCTCAGGTCTTTACACTGGCTGCCAGTTACATTCAGAATAGATTTTAAAGTATTATTACTGGTCTATAAATCACTAAATGACCTGGACCTCAATACATTGCAGATATGCTCACTGAATACAAACCCAAAAGATCGCTCAGATCTCTAGGATCAAATAAACTAGAAACTAGAGTCCAGTCAAAGCAGGTTGAATCTGCCTTCAGCCACTACGCCCCCCGCTGCTGGAATCAGCTTCCAGAAATGATCAGATGTGCTCCAACATTAGGCACATTCAAATCAAGACTGAAAACACATCTGTTTAGCTGTGCCTTTACTGAATGAGCACTGTGCTGCGTCCGACAGATCACTCTATTGTGTTTTTCATTTTATTTTTCATTCTTTTATAACCTATTTTAACTCATTTTAATTTGTTTTTATCTGTTTTTAATCATTTTTATTGTCTGCATTTTATGTTCCTAAACTTGTCTTTTTTATTCCTGTTTATCTAAAGCACTTTGAATTGCCACTGTGTATAAAATGAGCTGTATAAATAAACTTGCCTTGCCTTGCCTAATAATGTAAAAATGAGAACATTATATTTATTATTTTTAATCATTTATATTAATAAACCCTATTTCCTGATGTTTTCAGACCGTCCTAATGCTCAACAGTCAGGCTATCGGTGTAAGCGAGGAGTATTTTGACAATGGGAGGCAGTTCAGACCCGAGCGCTGGCTGGAAGAGAAAAGCTCCATCAACCCTTTTGCTCATGAGCCGTTTGGCGTTGGGAAGCGGATGTGCATCGGCCGGCGTCTCGCTGAGTTACAGATCCAGCTGGGTCTCTGCTGGGTACGTTTGCATTGTAGATCAACATTAAAGTCTGCATGAACCGGAAACTACGTCCATTTTGTTTCGTATTGTGACGCAGTTTCTAGAAAAAAGCCATATTAAATGAGTAAACAGTGGGCGTGGCTTATTTTTTCCACTGTGAGCTGATTGGATGTAGTAAAGTAGGCATTTCATTCAGAAAGATAGGGAAAAGTGTTTGGGGAGAGTTATTACAACCTAAAAGACTCCTCCCCCTCACCATTTCTGTTTGTTGTCATAACTGACACCTGGAGGGGCGTGGATGAGTATGTTAGCCACACCCAATACCTCAGACCGACCAACACAATCTCACGGCAATTCGTAACTTTTTCATTTAGTGGCTAATTCGTACAAATTCGTACGATCTAATTCGTACATTTTAGTACGATTTGCGTATCCCCCAATGACGGTTGGGTTTAGGGGTGGGGTTAGGTGCCACGCCTCCTTTTTAAAATCGTACATTTTCTTACCACTGAACTCATACAAATTCGTATGAATTAGCCACTAAACTACCAAAACATAAAATACTTACGTTTTCTCGTGAGATCAGGCTGGACCGACCTATCCTAAAAGTGTGACTGAAAACTAACCGGAAGTGCATTTTCAGCTTTCAATTAAAGATTACAAGGCCAAACTATTTTTTTTTTTATTCCTAATGACATGCACAGATAAATCATTCACCACAAAACTAGCAATGCAAGCTAATAAAATCAATATGGTTAGTTTTGATTTCAAGTGTACTTTAAAGTGTTCTCTGATGCTTCGAGTTGCTCTTTAATTAATGTGGTTTTGTTATAACAGATTCTGCGTGACTATAAGATTGTGGCAACAGACCTGGAGCCGGTGGACTCACTGCATTCAGGAACGCTGGTGCCCAGTCGAGAGCTTCCAGTGGCTTTTGTTCCACGATGAGGTACTAAAATAAATTTCTAGAATAAAAAGTTGAACATTAGATGACGTCAGGTTAAAAAACAAATACAATTTTTACATGCAATGGTCAAATTTGGATGGCACTGTGTCTCAGTGGTCGCCTCACAGCAAGAAGGTTGCTGGTTCAAGTCCCAGCTGAACCAGTTGGCTTTTCTGTGTGGAGTTTGCATGTTCTCCCCGTGTTGGTGTGGATTTCCTCTGGGTGCTCCGGTTTCCCCCACAGTCCAAACACAATTGGGTAAACTAAATTGGCTGTAGTGTATGAGTGTGAATAAGTGTGTATGGGTGATTCCCAGTACTGCGTTGCAACTGGAAGGGCATTCGCTGTGAAAAACATATCCTGGATAAGTTGGTGGTTCATGCAGCCGTGGCAACCTCTGAAATAGAAACTAAGCTGAAGGAAAATGAATGAATGAACAGACAGAAAACAATTGTAGACGAATATTTTGTGTGTAATCAGGCAAATTATAAGGACACCTGGCTTCGGAATATAGATGTAATAAACTATAAAGACTCTGAGCTGCTAAAGTTAAGATTTATGGCTCATTTTGAGAAAAATTCATTCATTTTCCTTTAGCTTGGTGCTTTATTCATCAGAGTCACCACAGTGGAATGAACCACCAACTTATCCAGAATATGTTTTGCCCAGCGGATACCTTTCCATGCTGCAACCCATCACTGGGAAACAACCATACACATACTCATTCACATTTATACACTACAGCCAATTTACACGGGGAGAAGATGCAAACTCCACACAGAAATGCCAACTGACCTAGCCGAAGCTCGAACCAGCGACCTTCTTGCTGTGAGGTGATTGTGCTACCCACTGCGCCACCGTGTCGCCCTTTGAGAAAATGTAATAAAATCTAAAGACAGACATTCATAAAATGAGACAAATGAAACCCTTTAAGGTGTATTTTCTGGATGTTTTCTTGACATTTAGTCTGAAAAAACATGTTAGGAATGTTAGCTTTAGAAGCTAAGGATTCCAACACCTCAACATTAACTGATGCATAAAAAAGCAGTGTTTTTGCCTGCAGTTTTTAAAGGAGACCTATTATGCAAAAATCACATTTATATGGAGTTTAAACATAGTTGTGTGGCAACAGTGTGGAATATAATAAGCTTCTAATGGTAAATTTGCATTAATTAAATCTTTTATAATCATAATTGAAAAAAACAGCCTACAGAAACACTTTGATTGACATTCTCCCTTTGTTCGTGTCATCAGAGGGGGAAAGCCCCGCCCATTAGTGACCATCTCTCCCTTATTAGGACGTTAGTCTTGTTTTCGAATCTGCCACTACGCTGACACACAGGCATTTGTAGCCCCGCCCTCTTTTAAAAAAGAGCTCACCCTTATTTGAATTTAAAGCGGCAGTCACCAAAATGGCACAATTATCATCAAAACTTATAAGGGTCAGTTTCAAACAGTTATAAAACATTACTTGTGTTGTATCTTGAGCTCAAACTTCAAATTCACACTCTAGGATAATCAGAGACATATTTTACATCTTGTAAAAGGGCATAACAGGTCCCCTTTGAGGGCTGTTCATTGTGAAGATCTTCTTCTAAAACTTGTTTATTGTCTTTACAGAAACCATGTACCAACCTGAACGGATGACTCCATATATCAATGGATCAGACACACGACGAGGCCTTTATAATGCTGCTATAACCTAACCGAATGTATCCGTCTCCCTTCAGATATACCTCATACTATTATTATAGTTTTATAATATTTGTAGTAAATATGATTCTTCTATTTATTTCCTTTATGCAAATGACAGAGTTAAGATAAATATTTAAGGTGTTCTTGTAATTGCTGCTACCTATTATTTTACTACAGTGCATATATATATTTTACTAAAATTGTTCTGTAGAGTTGCTAAATTTTTTTATGCAATACTATTTAGTACTGAAATCGTTCCATGTACAGTATTATGTAAAATTCTTTCTCTTTCTCTCTTTATTTTGTAATACGAAAAGTGTTTAGAAATGTACATAGATGTCATATGAAATATTATTGTAACTTTCTATTTATATACTTAGTTATAAATATATGTGTCTGAATGAGTGAGTGGTGGAAATGTAGAGAATGTAGAAAATCACTGGATGTTGTTCACCTTTCATTCTTAATAAAAAGTGAAAATGTCATGCTGTTGTCTGATTTAAATTGAGTGGCCATGAAAATAAATACATTTATTACTTCAGTTTTTCTCAGTTGCTTTGGTAAATTGTTATTTGTGCATTGTGCACATCAAAAACAGTTAAATTTAGGACTTTTTAAGACATTTTAAGACCATTATGAATGAAATTTTTGACTTATACAGTGATGAGTTGCCTCTTGGCCAGGTCGTCATTGTAAATGAGAACTGGTTCTCAATTGACTTACCTGGTTAAATAAAGGTTATTAAATTAAATGCTAAGGATTTTTTTTCCGAATAAGCCAGTTGGAAAATATTTTTCACTTGATCTATCAAAAAAATATATAATTTAATAATACAATAATAATAATTTAATAAAAAAAAATACACAACCCAGGCTCATTGTGGAAACGTAGCCCCGCGGACGTTTCTGGAGACCACGAAATATGTACTGGGAGGTACGTATTTGTGCAGTTTTTGTTTTCTCAAAACCGCGAGAGGCCGCTGTGCCGCGCTTTTTTGCTTCTCGAATGCCTCTTGGGAGCGTGCGCATTTCGCACCCGAGCTGTTTTCGCATGAAAAGCCGCTGGAGGCCGCTGTCGAACAACTAGCCCGACTGACGACTCCAACTGTCCGACTGACGGACTGGCCGAATGACTGAACGATCGACCCAGCCGCCCTCTTCCTCCTTCCCTAAACCCAAGCTATGATTTACAAAAGCCGTCCAGAAAAGAAAAGCACGATCTCGTTTGCTTTTAATTTTTTGGATTCGGTTTTTCATCTTACCTGATTTCTGGAACCGCTCTTCCCCGGACTTGAAGCCGGTCGCCACCGCGAGTGGCTCCTCCTCCTCCGGGCCTCTGCTCCACCGACGTAACACCATTAGCTAAGCGGACAAACTGGTTGCGGCGAGAAAGCCCTCCACACGGAGGTGAGTGAGTTGTCAGGCCAGCCAGTGAGCATGAAGAAGAGGAGCGGTGTCACACCGCCACGTAGCGTTCGCTCGAAAAAAACAAATGTGGCCATACATTCCTCTGGCCACGTAAATCGCGGTCTCCAGAAACGCTCGCGGGGCTACGTTTTCAGAATGAGCTTGGGATGAAAATACAGGTTAGGACAGTATCCTTAGCAGTCAATAAATGGAGAACTTAAACAAATGTTAATGTAAGGAAAGTAATTAAAAGCTATTTTAAAATAAAACGTTAAAAGCTTTTTTTGGGATTGGCATTGTTAGTGATTCTATGAGAGGGGTCTGGATGCAGACCAGGGGCAGTGCAATCTGAGCTGCATCTAATGCTTTTTAATGGGCTCACCCAACCCAACCCCACCCTTAACCCTACCCCTCACAGCAAGGGCGCCCTCAAGGGGTGGCCAGAGGTGGCCATGGCCACCCCTGTGCCCACCCCAATATGATTTTGCTGCTGATATTAACAATTTAAATGTACTTACATACATTCACTATATTTAAAAAATAAATAGATAAATAGCAGCCACTAAATTACTGTTGATTGATTGGTGCCACTGATGTAGCTGATTCACTCCCACTCCCTGATCGTCGATGAAAGCACGCACACACCTTCAATGGCAATTGAATATTTACCCTAAGGTACATCAATAGAAGAAGCTGTATTAATAATATTGTGGCTCAAAAAGGAATATGGATAAATGATATTATTAGGGTCTGTATAGTGTGTGTGTGTGTGTGTGTGTGTGTACACAGTTATTATTGTGTTACTGTTGTATTTGTTTGTTTTTTAAGTAATTCATTAATTGTCATTAGTTTTAGACACGCAATATACTGTATGCTGTACAATAAAAGTATGTGAAAAATAACTAAAAAGGTATTTATATATATATATATATATATATATATATATATATATGAAAAGTGTTTTTAAACTAAATATTGATTTTTATTTGACACACGGTGAATTATTTCAAGGAAAACATTGCTAAATTTCAAGAGCAATTAATTCAATTAATTAAAATTATTTCATTTACCAGAAACAAAAATAAAACATTACACTGAATTCATTATTTTTGGTGTGCCACCCCAAGATTCGGGGTCACTCACAGTGACGTCACTCGCTCCATTTGAGTGCATTGTGTCTGACATTGCATCGCTGAGTAATGCAATCTCAGCTTGCATCAAAAAGGCTGCATCCAGATACTATTGAACTGTATGGGTGTTAATGGCCAGATTCATGAAGAAAGGAAAACTGCAACACAGGCTCATTCTAAATATCTCTATATACATTTCTGGAGATCGTGAATCATGTAGCCAGAGGAACGTGGCTGCATTTTATTTTTAAAATAAACGCTACTGACGGTATGATGCCATTCCTTTCACGCTAACCAGCTGACTGCTTACCTCCGTGTGGACTGCTTTCCCACTGTTACCAGTTTGTCAAGTGGTGTACGTCGGAGAAAGGTTGCTGGTTCAAGACCCAGCTGGACCAGTTGGCATTTCTGAGTGGAGTTTGCATGTTCTCGCTGTGTTGGCATTGGTTTCCTCTGGGTGTTCCGATCCCCCCCATAGTCCAGACACATGCAGTATTATTATGCAGGTGAATTAGGTAAACTAAATTTGCTGTAGTGTATACATGTGTGTGAACGGCCTATTATCAGTATTAAATAATAAAAAAAAGTATTATGCTTATTACTATGACTATTATTTTATATTTAATATATAATCCCACATATATTTTTATACATTGCTTTTTTTAAGTAATTCAAATGTAACTTATTATTAATTATTATCTATGGAAAAAAGAATCTATGCCAAAAGTATTAAAATAAAAAGCTTGTTATTTAGCAAAAGCTGAAAAAAAAATAATACATTAAATTAACAACTGCTTGCATTTTAATGACTTGATTGCCAGGGTTTGTGTTTTTAGGTCCTGAACTTTAACACAACTGTTTATTTAAGCTGTGAATATTTCAACTAAAAAACACGTTTTCATACTTATAAAGTCAATAATTAATATTTAACTTCCAGATTTCACTTACAAAATATTCAATACTGGTGAAAAATACTAAGCATCATATTCAAAAGGTAATTTTCATAAGGCAATTTAATTTTATTTCAGTTTAAAAATTCACTTCCATAAATTCAGTGGATCAAATTCGGCTCTTTAAATTTGACATTACTTCTGGGAACTGCAGGAAAAGCAATAAATCAATCAATCTCCAGCTGCTTTTTCACTAGCAGGTGGACCAATTTAAGATTTTAAACCAGTAAATAAGTGAGAAAAAAAGCTAATAACAACACAAAAGTAGCATTTAATATTGTCAATGTCAAATTTTAACAGCCGAATTTGATCCACTGAATTTATGGTGAAAAAGCCTTGGAGTAACGATTGATGACCAACTAAACTTCTCTGACCACATTTCTAGAATTGCTCGATCTTGCAGATTCGCACTCTATAACAATAGAAAAGTCAGACCCTTCCTATCTGAACATGCAGCTCAACTCCTTGTTCAAGCTCTTGTTCTCTATTGCAACTCTCAACTAGCGGGGCTTCCAGCTAACTCTATCAAGCCTCTTCAACTGCTCCAGAACGCAGCAGCACGAGTGACCTTTAATGAACCTAAAAGAGCACATGTTACTCCGCTGCTCATCCGTTTGCACTGGCTGCCAGTTGCTGCTCGCATCAAATTCAAAGCTCTGATGTTTGCTTACAAAGTGACTTCTGGCCTTGCTCCTTCTTATCTGTTCTCACTTCTGCAGATCTATGTGCCCTCCAGAAACTTGCGTTCAGTGAATGAACGTCGCCTCGTGGTTCCATCCCAAAGAGGGAAGAAATCACTTTCCCGAACTCTCGCATTCAATCTGCCCAGTTAGTGGAATGAACTCCCTAACTGCATCAGAACGGCAGAGTCTTTTGCTGTCTTCAAGAAACGACTAAAAACTCAACTATTTAGTCTCCACTTCCCTTCCTAATCTGCAATTGCCTCTCTGACTCCACCGCTTAACTGTATTACAAAAAAAATAAAAAATCCAAATGTTTTGCTTCTTAGACTACATACCTGAAACTTGCCTATAGCACTTATTCATTGTTGCTCTTATAGCTGTGTAAACTGCTTCCTTGTCCTCATTTGTGAGTCGCTTTGGATAAAAGCGTCTGCTAAATGGCTAAATGTAAATGTAAATGTATGGGAGCGAATTTTGAACTGAAATAAAATAAATTGAAAATTGTCTTTTGAATATCATACATGAAATCTGGAAATTGAATATGAATTATGGAATTGTTAAGTATATAATCATGTTTGAAATATTTTTAGTTGAGATATTCACAGCTTAAGTAAACAGCTGTGCTAAATTTCAGGCCCTAAAATTACAAATCCTGGCAATCAAGTCATTAAAATGCAAGCAGATGTTAATTCAATGTATTATTTTTTTTCAGCTTGTGCTATTTGATAAGCTTTGTATGTCAATACATTTGGCATTGATTTTGTTCCATAAATTTCATTATAAAAATAAAAACTTTTTTTTCCCCCTCAGTATGACTGTAATTGCTGTTGTTGTTGTTTTTTGCCAGAAACACTGGTTTTCTCTGCTTCTGGCTGTTGTCCAGCAGGAGTATTGACTGCTTCTCTAGAGTTTATGGGGTGGATGAGGGTGTTTGGGTTAATTGGCCACTCGGAGCCCATCAGCTGACCGTCACTGGACTGACACACATTCAACAATGTCATCATGTTCTGCTCTTTCACAAGCTATGAACCTGATGTTTTGACAGAAAGGTACACAAAAACACTGCCAAGTGATATAACAGCAGCTACTGTAACTTTAACCCCGGTTTCTCAACGTCCCTTTGCTTTGGCCCGATGCCAGTGTCGTTCACCTCGAGTCGTGTGGGTTTAGAGCAAAAACAAACTCACTACGCCAATAAAGCACTGCAATAAAGACAAAAAATGCTGATTGCCCACCGTGTTTATAGTAGTATTAGAAAACCAAGTCACAAAGTCAAGCAGTGACGCACTCAGAGAAAGATAATGCTGATTTATT